AGTTTCAGTAATATAAACTGCGAGCACGCGGCCTTAATCCATTTGATCCCAGGATGCCCGGCAAGGAACTGCCGAATAACGCACTCCTGAAGAGCCACTCTTTCCGGAAATAATACACAGTCGTTCACAATAGAGAGCGGATGTCCCCTATGGAATTACTGTGTAGTGAAACAGATGGACATGAAGGTGGTCAACTTGTTGTGTGAAAACTGTGTAAAATTCTTTAGTATTTCGTTCCGAAATGTTTCGGTTAGTACATATATATATAGTGCACTAATACACATGTCATCTGGTCTACTGTTGCATGGCTTTTACCGGTTTTACTGTGTGCAACTCAGGTAGAATGAAAATATATGAGACAATTGAACCAGTGTATCCTTGTTCGTGCGTGGTCGGGTATTAAATAAAGTCGCGTGAAAATTTCATCGTTTGGACTCTTTAGTTGGGTGGTTTGAGCTCATTAAATCTTTTGCTTTTTGATTGTTGACTTGCAGTTTAAAAATCTTGCGAGTGTGACTCCCTGTCTTTCTTATCTCGCTGAAATGGCAGAGTTTTAAGGTCAACAAGTCTTTAGCACTCATTCGGTGTGACAGATCGCTCGCTGGGCAGGTTTAATCGTGTGGGTAGTTTGCTCGTATTAGGCACTGATGTCGAAGTAAAGCAAATGAGCAATGAGGGACACAGAATGTCCGCAGCCGTTTCGTTTCGCGCTGGTCTGTCTGGATTGAATGGGTGTTTGCATACGAGAGTGTGAAGAGAATGATGACAGAAAATGAAACCTAATTACATAAGCAGCTAGAATGCTACTGCTTAGACGTGGGAAAAATATAAGCGAAAGTTTAGTCCATAAACGATTTAGATCTAGTGAACACTTATCTTGCAAACACTACACGTTAATTATGCACATTTTACTAGCGAAATGTTTTCATGTATACCTGTAATAATTATACTGGGTCACCTGACCACATTATTCCACTGCGCCTCCAGCTAGTATAGCATGCTTTAATTAAGACTAACTAATGCATAATGTATATTCATTATTCAGGCGGATTAAGGAAATTCTTAATCGTATCTGAAAAGTAGGTTCATATGATAATAACCGACTCAACATACCTTCTAGGCCGTATAAAGCTAGAAAAACAAGCAGCACTGCGGTCGATGCTCCCAACAAATACTGGCAGCAAAAGCACGTGATCGCACCGATGAATTGTAAACCTGCTCCACGAATAGCTCCCATGCACACACTCTGAATGGGTCAAACGTAAAAACATGGTAGTAAATTTATTTTTCACCACCTATCTGTACAAATTAAGAAAGGAACAAAATTTCGCATTTTCCTACTTTGCTAATCAGCATTTGTAATTTGTTTAGATGCCGTAGCCTCATAACAGGATATGAACCAGTTGAGGCAGCACGGATTAGGCATACTATATGCAGACGCTTGCTCATACAAGTCACATTATTCGTCCTAATTTTAATCCATCATCTAGCAAATACTTCATGCAGCAATTCTGTACAGTAGGCTTACGATAGCAAATATTTGTGATTGTGCTAACCACTTAGTTTAGGCGATGTAAGATGAAAACATTCTAATTGCCTACATGTTGTGATAACGGTATAAAGCGAAAACAAAAGGAAAGCAAGTACCGAGGTAAGTTTGCAAAGCTGTCAGTTCAGTGGGCAGTTGAAATCGTCGGCATACAAAACCTGATTGCGTTAACTGTTGGTGCAAATATCACAATAATTATAATTGATTTTCAGAAACCAAGACTTGTACATTCAATAAAGGTATAAATTTAAACAGAAGTAAAGCTAATAACATGATGTCGTATTTGTAGATAGAAACCCAGTGAAAAATGATTCTGTTTTGCTTATGTTATTTATTCCGAACAAAATTCTGACTGTGCTACGACCCAGTCAATCAAGGTCAATGCAGATACATTGGTGACGTCAATAAGGCTAAAGCGAAGGATCAGCTCACCGATGTTGCTTCAAATATTTGCAAGACGGCAATTATGGGAACCAAATTAACAGCCAATTCGATGACGGCACTGAAACGAAATAAACCATCGTATATATCCAGCATGGTATTACATCTTATTGTTGTAAACCGCAAACCAAAAGCAAGAATGTTGACGCACATTTACCTATCTGAGGTGAACGCTTTCGGAAGTTGCCATCTTAGTAATATTATCCCCGTTGCGAACATCGAGGTCAGGAACCCTACGGCAAGCAAATGGTCACTGGAACAAAGTGGTTGACTTACAAACCGTTATCAATGCGACGGATATGACCGATTTTGGACCTACAGCGGATCCAGCACCGAGATACTGACCAACACGAAGACTGGTGGCCATTCCAACACCTAGCGGAACCTGTACAATAAAGAAGCTACATGTTAAGCCTGGAAGATAGCTAGATAAATGGAGTGAACCTGCAAGGTGTTGAGTAGCGCACATATAAGAAATTAACTCAAGCTTTTGCACCTGTTTGTTTGAAGTCACTGCATGACGCGTTTCGGAATACAAGTTATTCAATTATGTATCGCCCAAATTATATGACACATTAATATTTATTAAGGCATTGGCAAGTTTGTTTAATTCAGCTTGTTTAAGCCCTGTGTGGTATCCTTATTTAGTTGAGTTTTCCTGTTACCTACATATAGTATGCTGCTAAATGCAAAATGCTATAATGTTACTCGTATGCTTAGTAGATTATAATTTGTTCGGAATTCCTTTAAGATATTTTATATCAGAATATGCATGCAGAACTTGTGTCCTCACCTAGAAATTTTATAGGGCACGATTTGTAGCTAATGAGATATACTCGCCTAGCAGACAACATAAAGTACTTGATCAAAGGTTCTGGTATTTTTCAAACATTGTTAGGGAATGATATCGGAACATTGCACGTATCCCCGTGTAACATCGCAATATAGAAGGCATACTTCGAGCTATCCGATCATTATGTTTATCAAACGTTTTCCAGCGGTATTTTGGTTGGCTCCACTGTAGGGCCATATAATAGTTCATAACGGAAGCCTATATCTTTTATTAATACTAATTTGATAAAATCGATGATGTGCCCTCAAGTCGCCGTCTTTGAAAAAGTCGTTTCTTGCTTTGTTCATTCATCAACATAATCCATGTGCCTGCGGTACAGGCCAGAAAACATAATAATACTCGAAGACATTTTTAAGATGACTGCATTTTCTAGTCTAAAAGCTGGTATAATAAACTCAGTTAAATGATTTGTGAATGGAAGGATTTTGGTGTGTATTTTTGTTCATCGCAATCAGCCGACAATTCAGATATGTCCACCAGCTGTCCCCAATAGGGCGAAACGGCCGTCTGGTGCTTTTCCGGATAGCTGGTCGACAAATCTGAATTGTCGGCTGATTGCGATGAACAAAAATACTCACCAAAATCCTTCCATTCACAAGTAATACCAATTCGCCCGTACGGATTCCACAAAATGCTATGTCGATTCATAGCTGCCGTAACCGGGAAGTCCTGACGCCGGAAGGCCGACCGCTGTCATCTGCATGGCAGGTGCCTGCATGGCAGTGCAGGATGCGTCGGGCTATATCGCATTTAGCTAACAATACACGATAGTCAGATACCGTCCTCCATGTCGCAGTTGCATAAGCTGCGGGCTAGTTAGCAAGAGCCACTAGCAGTCATGGGTTCGATCCTCTACAGAGGACCGAAGGATGCGCACCACTGATGAGCCCCAATAGGGCGAAACGGCCGTCTGGTGCTTTTCCGGACAGCTGGTCGACATATCTGAATTGTCGGCTGATTGCGATGAACAAAAATACTCAGTTAAATGATTTTTGATGAATTTATTTTTACGAAAAGAATAGTCTAATTTTAACTGGCCAACCAATACTTGCTCAAGAATAGTTAAATTAGGAATTAAAACTTACTAGCATTATAAGCATATCTTCGATGTTGCAAAGAATTATCTGTGCGGACAATTGCTGTCGACTGAGGGTTCCTGGATAAATCGGAGAATCAAGGTTATTTTGCTGTTCAGTAAAAGGCAGAGTAACAATTTCTACAGGTGAGATAATTAAATTCTATGATTGAAACCAGTTAAGCAGTAAATCACTGATACACTAAGGCTTCTAGATCCTCTACTTTTCGCGCGTCAAGTTTGTCTGCAGTGCACGTACGGAATAGACAAAGTGTCAGTGACTAAAATGCACAATCCTGATGGCAACCGCATTGTATGTTTAGCAAAGTTAAGCAGGATTATTAAAATTTCCCTATTCGTATCCAGCTATAATACCTCGTATAAGATGGTAGCAACCATGGAATGCACGTAATTTTAGTTACTTGGAGATATCACACAAAAGCCTCCAAGTAACAAAAAGTCAGATATCTTGCAAAACATCACTGAATCGCTTCATCATACTGGAATTTGACTCACCATCAAGAACAGAACGCAAAAATAGTAAATACTAATGGCTTGCACGCATAAACTGTCACTTGGTGGCGCTAAATAGGTTGCTTCTACTACTATAAAAACGAAATCCAGGATCTGCATTTAACCGTGTCATATAATTAGGCTGGACCGCCGCCATTGATGACTTCTGCATGCCCAGAGTTCGCCGGTCCCACCCGAAATGTTATATTTCCTCGCAAATCCTAAAAATTTGCACATTTGCTGTCCTCCTGGTTCTTTCGAAAGGGCAAAAGAATTTTCTACGTACGCAACTTTTCTCGGGTGCGATTGGAACAAATTCGAAACCGAACTGATCAATTTAAATTTACTGCTCAACGACTATATTTTGGCCGCCTTAATTATTGTTTCGTTGTGTGATACCATTGATCCATCTTCTTGCTCATTCGATACGCTTTGTTTTGACGAAATACAGTTTTTTTGTGTACAACTGTCCATCGTTTTATGTTGCCTAGTGGCTTGCTAAAAGCTTATGCTGATCTCGCTTTTCTTCTTTTGCTCCTCGGAGCAATAAAATCACGTGTTCATGTCGCAGGATTCGTATTCATCGTGTGCACCGGTTTCAGTTCGCCCCCGTTCTTCCGCAACGGAAACTGTTATACGGAATTGCTTACATGTTCTATAACGTTATCGAGCAAGTTAGCTGAGTCTTGCATGATGGCAAAATTCATTATCTTTCCATCCGTTAACACGGGCTGTAATTTTCCGAGCACTTAAACGAACTCTCATCGTGGTTGCGAGGACCACCCGTGCACCGAGCCAAGTCCTCAAAAGCCTCGGATATTACGATCATCCTCATACCTCCACTCATGCAAATAATTTAGTAAATGTTCAGTTCTCTGTACGCTCACACCCTTGTCCAGTTGTTTATATTTGACCTACACCTTAATTACTTTAGTTACGAAATGTGACCTCGCTTAATTTTATTACATCTGTAACAAATGCCCCTGCATTATATGCAGTTGTAACTGGGTGAAGTTCTAACTTGGCTACCACGTTCTCTAAATATGCTCAGGTCAACAAATTTGATACGCGATTTACTTGTATGTGTGCCTTCTGTTAATTACTCACTCTTTCCTCACTATGTGATTGACAAGTGCTGCGATAATACTTTTAGACTTCTATTTTGCATTATCTTTTATTATAGCCGCTTGTTATGAGCCGGTTTCCTCCTCGTTGTGTAGTTGCATTCTGTTGTCGAGATCGATATGCTGAGATCCCGAACAACTGAAGTTTTCCCAGTTTGAGTAGCTGTATATGTTTACTATTACTGTGGTTGTTGCGATACGACCTTGTTCTGTGTATGTGCTCATTTGCTACATTCAACTTTCGGTCAGTGAAGGTATTTAATGAAATTGAGCAACTAAATTCATTTCTTCCAGGTTGACTCAAATATTGACTCAACTCGTAAGCATTCTCAGAAAACAACTGGTTTTTTCTATGGTAATGTAAAGAAATGAATACTTAACTCCAATTGAACGGCCACAAAATGTATTTAGCCTATAAATCGTGTTCCCGCCCCCGCCAGAATAGTTGGGAAGTGCGGGTCAAGCAGTTGAAAACGGTTACTCCCTTCATTGCACCATTCACCAATTGCTAGCTAAGCGATCCTGCTTGAACCGGTGAGGCCCTCAACCATCATCGCGGCTTATCATTTAAAGGCGCTAAATAGCATACTTGAACAATCCTCATCCTCCTCCTTACCGATTACCAATCACTCACGGTAGATAGTAATTATTGAAGCATTAAAGTAAATAATTTCTCCATCAAAGTATCTTGCAATGAGGTACTCATGGCTGCGCAATTTGTTTGCCTAGTTTTGTTTGTCGATTATTAAACGGGGCTTAATCTTCCTCATACATTCATCAGTATTATTGCAATCGTCATTTCTTGTCTTTAAATGTTGTCTTTTTCCCGATTGATCAAACTAAAACCATTTCCTGTAGTTATAGGCTGATGTGTCTCAGCTATGGTGGCTTACACGGCTGAAGGCTGTAAACATTACAAACACTGGCTTGTGTGGAAGTGAATCCGCAGGAGACAGTTCGGCGGATATTTCTATTGCCTCACGCAAACTACTGGTTATATATTCATATATTCGTATGTTAAAATTGAGCTTTTCTTATGTGTTTATCTTATAAAACACTCTAGCAAATCGGTTTCACAGCAGCATCTAGCAACTAGAACTTCTATCCTTTTCAGTCAATCCCACATATAAATTGATCAAACCCCGCCATATAGCTCTTGAACACCCATCCAACTTGTCTCTGCACCCAGCCTAAAAGCATATAAAAGTGAGTGAACAAATGATTGTACCATTCGGACTTTATTTTACAATTTCTGTTTCTCGGAGTCAACATAAGGCCAATAAACGGTGAGTTACCAATATTCAAACCGACTGAATTTATGCATATTACCTGCCGAACATCTCGGCTTTTGTACGTATGCTGCACTGGAACAATATGGCGAGTGTGTGTAAGCGATTTTCACATTACCATTATATTTCCCTTTCGGAATTATTACCAATCAACGCATTTGTTAACGAATGCACTTTTACCCGTAACCTCGATCTTTCATTTTTTCGCCGTGCCTCACACTATTGGTGATAATTCCACTTCATTATTTTTATGATATTAGTCAGCTAGCTTCGGAGGCGCTGTTGTGACTCTATATTAACTGTGATCTAGCTCGATTTATCTTCCAATGCTATGAAATTTGCGAACCAGTCGAGTGTCAGTCTTGGCTTTTAAAATCATGAGTTCAGGCAGAAGTATCCTGCATTCCATTAGCCAAAGTTGCATGCAGGAATTTTTGATGGAACTCATTAATTGCCTGAGAACAGGACTAGAACATCGAAAAACGTTTTCTGTGCAAACTGTACATTCTAAATGTGTAACTGTAGTCGGGTAAAATAATGCAGCAAATATCTATCATTTATGTTTACAATTGTTCTCCAAGCATAATAACTTGCAGTGGGAGCTCATACACACCATATTAGTTACCACATACTTCCAGAGCGCAGGCTGTACAATATCTGTAAACGCAGCACCTATGGTGATAATACCGGCCTTTAATTGTTAACTTGAATATCAGCGTACATATATGAAACTACCCAAAATTATGTGTAAGGAACCCTGTTCAGTGTTGCATATCATATAGGATAAGGTATGGCAACTGAACGGTAAGGTCATACTAAAAATCATAAATAAATTAGTAAGATTATGTTTTGAATGTTGGTTAAATCTAACGGTTACACGTCAAAAAGATTTCGAAATCCTTTCGTCATTTGTTGATGAATTTCAGTGTTTGTGCAATCTAACATCTAAATTTCATAATGATTCCCCGGGCACATACTCTACACTTGATTCGAGCGATATAATATTTACAACCTTGTGGTTTTCACCGTTAGTGGTTAATTTATCAAACCTAAAACATCATGCGCGATAAATGTACATGGTTATTTGTATCTTAAAGCCATACATGTGAAGTAGATTTTTAAGCTCTTATACAAGTTGTTCCTCCGTGAAGGACAGACAGTATTTATCACTACCTGAGCACACTTTCAAGCTAACTTTTCGCTTTGTCCCTTAGCAATTGTGAAACAATTCGGTTCGCCGGTTTATACAACATTGTTACGTGTCAGGAACATGATTAATATTTTTCAGTCTATTTTTATAATATGTGTATCTCTGTATGTTAACAAGATCATTAGCGTCGTCACGGGAGTGATGCGCATAAAATTTCGGAAGGCGATATGTGGAAATAAATAGGCTTATCGACAAAACATGCATTGCAATCCTTGCTTTAGATGCAATGACACGCACAATCACTCACATCAATTGATCCTGAAGCCTGCTTTCTTTATTCGTAAGTAGTAGCCTTCTTTCGCTTGGTTGTTACCAGAATTTGAACGACGACAATTACAATGTAACATGCCGAGAACCTCGAGATTGCGTAAGAAATGCATTGGACGGTTAACTCAGATGCCTAGCAAGGATTTGCGCATATGTACTGAGCTTAGCGTTGCAAAGTTTGAGAATATTTAACTATGGTATGCATGCCTAACAAAACTATACTTCAAATAGCATGGTCGTTTTAAGGTTTGTTTCCTGCAACCCAAAGTAATTGTGGTTGTTTCCAATAGAACCAATAATCAAATATTAACTACTGATAAAGCTAGAGGATTCAGCATTTGCTGACCTGCAATGAAGGTTCCAAGTTCAAAAATTGTCCACTCCATTGCCTCCATGATCAGTCCCGGTAACGCCAGTTTAAACCAAATGCCCCAGTCCAACCACAGATTTGAAGAAATACCTGTGAAAGAGTAAATGGAGATAACCATGATCGATGCTAATTGTACACTTAAATGAGGGTGGCAAATAGGAGAATTTACAGTAGAATTAGATGCGCATGGAGTATCAGTGCTTTCGACAGACGAAATATAAATTGTCTTTTTGGGCGTATATGCAGGATGCACATTAACTCCTTGGTCTCTTCAAGCAAAACGGTACAACAGGATTTCTGATACCTTGAAGGTCTCAACTAAGTTCTTATCATAGTTGTCACTTTGCTGTCTGCTTCGACAGAACATGTGCGGAGAAGAAGCTGATAAATAGTCACCTATGACAAACATGTGCGTTTTCAAAATTGTACTAATGATGCTATAATCATCAACATATTTTGCGAATATATCATCTTGATCTGTCCCACTTACAGCATTATGCCTGTGATACGCTATTCATTCATGCAATTGAATTTCCCAACAAATTAACGTTTCAGTCCTGGAAAGAAATGCATTTTATTACTTAGACACGAACCATGCTCGGCTACTTAATACGCGAAAACGAACTGCACTCAGCTTGCTCCGCTCATTGTTTCGTAAAAATGTGTTGCATCGTTTATGGTGAGTTTTACTCCGGTTGTTTGGTAATAAGCCCTTTTAAAATGTCACGCTATGAAATTGTTCAGCATCTAGTATTGCGGAATCCAGGAAAGGCTGGCATCAAATTATTTTATAAGTTTATCAGCGAAGATCCGTTTATTAAATGCTTACCTTTTTATTATCTCAGCTGTCGCTATGAAATGTGCTGTCTGGTCAAAACTAACTACTTACTAGCATTTAGATGCTCTTCACCGTCATACATACATCTTAGACTAAACAAGAAACGAGACACTGGATGAAAATTAATGGTCCGTGTTAAACGGCTCACACTACAAATAACAACTGTGATCTCGCGATTGAGCAATTTGTAGTAATAGAGGTTTTAGGAAAAATCACAACCATGACGTTTAGAGAATTGTAAAGCATAGGTAGAATTTCGTCATATCTAGACGCACTCAGACCGTTATCACACACCCGGAAAAGCACTGTATAGGCCATTTTATCCTTCTAGGAATTGCCAGCAGTGCGTATTCTATATGAACCTGGTGTGGCTCGAACCCCTAACTCGACTGGTGCCAGCACGTGATTTAGACTACTGAGCTACGGGGGACGGTAACGACCAGGTTGCATAAGCTGTTAGATGTACAACCCTTGCATTAATAGCTCAAATAATCAGCTTGCATCGTGGATTTAGACAACTTCAATTCTGCGTTATTTTCTCCTCTGCAATAAGCAGCTTGTTAACTTTCATTCTCTTTGTATTCCTTCCATGATTCCGGCCAAACAATTATATTTTACCACTTGGAGTTTTACGAGAAATTACACAGTTATGTACAAGGAATTCTAAAGAACGCCATACTCACTCGCAGAAAAATGGAGGAGCGAGCCAATACCCTTACCAGGTCTAGGATTGAAAACGACAAACGGCGCCTACATAGTATTACATTTATCGAAATTTGAGGACCAATCAGTATAATGCTTGTGCTAAAATATTAACGCATGTGGTTCCGTGCGGACACCCTTACGTCCGGCATACTAAAAGCATTACAGCGAAGGCTTGAGCGTAGATCTTAACAGGCATTCTGGCTGAGGACACCTCTGTGCTTAGGAACTGCGAGCTTCCAGATGGACGCAGCAACATATCTTGTTCAGTCCACAGCATCTAAAATTAATGTATAATGCAGAAACGTAAAACGTTCCTTGATTTCTGCAACGCTGTGGGAATAATCGACAGATTTCTCCTGATAAATTTGAGATCGGCGTATGGCGCTCGGCGTTGTGCAGCCTAGTGAGCAACTACTTGCAAATCAATCGCATTTCACCTAGCTGTGGGGTAAAACATACTCAAAACATCGTTATGTTTGAGGCGTTTATAATGTTTAAACCATTCTTTCCTTATTTACTCTGTATATAGTGGAATGCTCCTAAACTCCCAAACTTGGACAGATGCAGTTACGACGACGTGGTGCGGGGGCGTCAATGCTCCAACTGCGGAATGATGAAAACTCTCCAAGGCAGGTTTCATAAAATTCATCGGTCTTCGTCGTCTCAACACTTCTAAATCCTGCAGTTACCTTTCCACTTCTTGCGCAATGACAAAGGTTTGGTTTTCAGTAAGACTTCTTAGCCCAACGTTCTGCGCGACCACCTCATGTCTAATTCATCTATACTAAGAGAATTAGTGCAATATTACCCGATATATTCCGTAATCGAGCCACCTTAACGCAAAGCTCCACAAGGTGAACGTTTAACGTCTAATGAATTTAGACTCAAAGTGCTTTCATTAACCCGCACTCTAATCTCAACATTTGTTACTAACTATATTTGTAAAGTTAGTATGGCATATGTATAATTTTTCATGCTTCTACCAAAACTGCACATATATTCTGGGTTTCACTAGGCTCATTCCCAAGTGCAGTGGATTACGCAGAAGATCTCTTATTGTTTTTATTGTTACTAAGCATTTTGCCGCAAGTAACAATGTTTCATTTAATTTTGAAACGATTATTTTCACTTTACATGAAGATTTACTAAAATATCTCTCTTATTTAACTACGCCTTCAAACTAGGAGCTTCTTTTTTCCCACATTTTTTAAAATTTCATCTGATCCTTCATTCGAGAAATTTCTCAAAGCCACACGTAAAGTCTTACTTGAGTAAACCATATGCATATATCTCATCTAGCTTATAAACGGTGATTTTAGGTCAGTGTTAGGTCTCATTTTCCCCGTAGTGCTATTGTAAACTTTTAAAATATTCTGAATCGTGTGCATGCAGTTTATGATTACGTGACGCTACAATCCAGCTTAGAAGTTTGCCCATGGGCAGACTACCTTTTCACATGTTAGTTACAATTTGAGAGGGAGTTGGTCAAGTACCAGGAATATGTGGTTTCCAAATCCCTCTCATTAGTTAAGGTTACAGCTGATAACAGAATGCGTTGCGATGGAAGAGCAAGGTACCAAGCCTTCATTTAATTGCCACTCCTTAAATGCTATTTTTGACAGGATGCATGCCAACGCAGTGAAATAAAATAACAAATACCAAAGCAGGATAACCTAATGTTTGCCGCGGATATATCACACGGATGTGAACAACATGAAGACAGCAAAATTTCCACTTTGTATCGGAAAATTCATTTAATTACTTTGGTTATGCACAGCTTAACTGAATGCCAAAGGGTCATTTTGGCTCATGGTGTTTGAACATCAGCGCTTGCTTCCAGAAGGTTTTTCTATAGTCATGCGAACCGATGAAATTTAGCCAATACTCCTTTGTAACCCCAAGATATAGTGACAAATTTACCAAGCTCGGTGAAACGCGTTGCTGTGTAAGCAAATGCCTTGAACAGGAAATTAGAATAGAAGATACATTAATTAACATAAGCAGAAACATTTCCAGACCATGGTAAGTATTTATCACAAATAAAATTATAGGCAAAGCTGAAAACATTCTCTCGCACACAGTCTATCATTTTCGTAAAGAAAAGTTCTTTCTCACTGCGTCCCCATGGACGTCATGCTGCGTATATTCCACACAACTAAAATTTGTCTGCAGTATATCTACACTATGGTCGTTAGTAATTATACATATTCATTTGTCACACGGATGTTAATGGAATTCTGGAAAAAACATAATATTCCCAGTAACGTCGTCGGCAGCAGTTCAAAACTGATGATGTCATGTTTCAACCGCGTTAAGTCAACTATGCTTGATACTTAGTATTTAAGGCAGTTAAATAAACGGCAACGTTAATTTTGCTATAAACCTCATTGGACCGCAGCATAGATCATATACTGAAAAGCAAACACTGCGCACCATGTATCGCATTTGTCCTAATTACTTTGGGGTTTTGCTAGAGGAAAAGATAATTGTACGGTGGTCAATCTTGAACAAAACAATCGAGTTAAAATCGAACGTGGATTCAAGTGACTGAACCTGAAATCAAGTAAATGTTTATGTTCATAAGACTGCAATCTCACATTTTGTGCAAACCTACTAACCTGTCCAGGTACTACTTTTCTTCTCTTTTTCGATGACGTATACCACAAGACATGCGCATTGGAACACGTGCGTGATCACTTGAGAGAAAGCCGATCCGCTAGAAATAAAGCGTGCAAAATTAGCATTTACAAGTTCATGTACGAAATTAAAAGATTGAACATAAGTGAAACATAAACAACTTGAAATCAATGGACATGAGTTAAATGCAAAGAACCACCCGTTTCTACTCTTGAATTTGACTTGCGCTTTAGCCGTTTTTGGTTATATATATCCAAACAACTTTGTGTAATTCACGTAGGTGACATTTTTGCCGTCATACAGCTTTTGTTTATATGTGGTTAGTGCTTGTGCACGTTGATATTTTATTCGCAGATTTGCCTTCTAAGTACCTCACGGCTGGATGCCGAAACAATCCCGGGAATTTAAAATGAACTACGAAGCATGCATCACTATCGATTTATCCAAAGGTTCAACCAAAGTTAGGGGGTGTGTTAGTAAACGCAGTTTACCCTAACTAATTAAGATGATGATACTCATAGCTGTATCTGTTAATTAATTCACAAAAGCATATCTCGAGATCATATCACCGACATTTAAGTTGTCGTCTAGGTAACCTTATGCCGCGACGTCCTCAGTAGCATGAAGTGTGTCTGAGTTCGAATACCAGTGCGAATCTACCTGAATGTGTGCACGCGTTCAGAAAAAGGCACTTAGTTTACACATATATTGTAAGGTGATAGGTCATCTGATTCCTGTTGGCTAAAATCCACCATGCTGTAATTTTCACACGCGCCGTAACGAACCGTACGAACCGTGTGCGCATCTAACGGTATCTTTATAGGTTGTATGAGGAATGACTAAACCATGAGATAACGATGAGGTTATCTAGCGCCATTTGGCAGTAAGGCGGCTCGTAATTATAATGACTTGCTTAATCTACCTTAGATACGTAAGAAGCTTTTCTTATGCAATTTCGTTAGTATGGTAAGTGTTACGGAAAATTCTTCATTTGAGCAACTGGATTTGTACGCTAAACTCCAGCTTATACCTATTCATGTGTTTGGTCCATCAGTGATCACTTCATGGTCATATTCGAATGGAGGTGTATTTCGCGAAGTGGACGTCATCTATGCACTATATACGGTTTATAAAGTCACAGATTTTCTATATCACATCGCACTCACATAAATTTCACTGCATTAACAAGAACACAAAAACCCATTTTGTTACTAACATTCGGATTGGTAAACCAATTAATGCTCATAATTAGCAGCACCCTAAGACCTGTGTTTCTGTAAAATTATCCAGCACATGCTGTTGTAGACGTCTTTGTGCAGAGGGCTTTGTTCAGGCAGTCTGTTCCGCTTGACCCCATCTTGATTAGTGTCATTCACTTCGATATTTCCTGAACTGCTTTCGCATTTGTGCCTTAATTCGATGCCAACTATATTACTGTTACCAGAAAAGATGGCAGTCTGGCTTATGAAGGGCAGATTGCGCAATCTTAGGGGTACAGCGCAGTGAAGGTACACTTTCATCAGTCAGTAAGTAATGTTCACGTGGATGTTCATAGCAATCGTTTAGAGATGTTACTTTCGTCGGCAAACCGCTTGCAGACTGAAAACAGTGGGATACCCATGTCTCTGGATGTACCATGGAGCAAAAGCCAGCGAGACAAAAATAATTCAAACGACCACCACCCGGAGAGCAGTAAAAAATTATTCTTGCTCATGACCTGCCCGATCTATGGACAGTCAGCAACGAAGAATCCCGCACTCATGCCCTGGAAGAATGGCGTTACATGTGTGAAGCTCTATGTGTGGACGACATCAAACCTCAGTGAATTATACGGTTACGGCTGTCGCCAAACCAAGGAGGCAGTGGCCCGAGCTTACTGAATCTGTCGGTGCAGTCATAACTGATGGCTGTGAAGTTAATCGGTGGCTGGAAGTTACTATGCAACAAACTTCCTTTGAAACTACTACTGAAGACTGCAGTTAGAGAGCAGCAGCCACTCGCTGTTCTTGCGTAAACGACACCACCCGCATCTCAAGATAACCACAAAAACGATTCAAAACCTGTGCACTAAGACCCGAAGCTATCGAGAAGTCTGTTGATGGACTACATACGGCGGGTGCAAGCTAGACAAAAACAGATTACATTTCAAATCAGATTTGTCACTGCACCAAAACCAATTAGGTGCTGGCCTCTCATCGGTCGGCACAAATCTACCTCATTCATGTTCTTCTACTCAACAGCTGTTGACAACCGAGTGGCGTTCCTCTATGTGTACCAACACTTAAGGCTTACTGCGTAAACTTTCCAAAATACGGCTGCGTCAAGAATCGAAAACCTACGTCCCATTTGCTGTCATTCGATTTGGATTTAACTTGGATTTATAGTTTATATTATGTATACCAAAATAAGTTCACTATTGTATGCCAAATATTTCTAAAAATTATTTTAATATTTTGCCGATTCATTATAACCATCCTACGGGACCTGTTAACCATTAGCTCTTTAATCCGTATAAAACCATTGTTCCATTTTTGCATAATCTCTAAAATATTATATGGCTAAATGTACTAAAATATTACGGTACAGTTCCAAGAAGCCTGTATTATAATTCGGTAATGCCCTACATGCTAATTCATAGTATTTCCAGTGGGATTAGCGCACGTGAGAGTCGCACCTCATGTCCTCCAGCTTGGTTTTTTTCGGGTGAGGACACTGTAACACCTGAACTCAAAAACACGCGTTATGGTGTTATTATTAATACTTCTGTCAACCTCGCTCGTTCAGATAATCCCAAGTTAACATACCGAAACACGGGGACACTTTCACGGAACTCGATTATATAGACATATGACTGTCGATTGAACATGCGGAGATACACAAATTGTGGGGAGGGGGTGGAATTTGTGGACTTATATATCCTCCTCACTAACAGTTAGGCGAGTAAGAGGCGCAGCAACGTTTGTTTCAAGAGGGTGTAAACGGAAGGCAGCTTACCGGACACCAACTTTTATCACAAAGAGCAGCACGTAATGAAGGAGCACGTTCAAGCAATTTCCAGTTATTCCAATCCATAGAGGTGGATACACCGTGTTCTACAACAAATAAAAAAAACCAACGCTATGTGACAGAATTGATCGGCATTTATGACCGAAGATCTTTATGTAGCAAAGCGCAGATTCGTTTGCTTAGGCACACGGAGGATCTAAAGTCCTGCTGCTAGGAGAGTGCAAATGACTAATGAGATATTTTTAGGTGAGTGGAAGACGTTAACCGGAAAGGCAATTCAATAGTTTATGTCAACTACTACATCAGTTTAATTGTTGCGCGGTACACTGAGCCTCACCTGTGCTTGTAGGTACTTGGTCAAACATTGCTCAATCGCAGCGAACTGAAAGTTTGAAAAATCAAATAGGCATGTGTAACCCGGATTTACCCACAGTCCAGGTAAAGCACAGAGAATGTAATCCGCTGCGTCTCTAGAAGAACCAAGAAGAAATGCACCGTCAAGCAGAGAGCAATGCTTATACACGTCATTGAATATTTGACAACACAAATGTGAGCATTATATCCAGATTTGGTAATATGCAACACCGAACATATTAAATTGTCTACAAATCTCCTACATTAGGCAAAACAACGATAGACGATTCGAAGTCATTTGTAATTGTAATCTATCAGTCACCATTGTCGTGTATAGGAAAATAGAGAAAAATAAAATACTGCACTTTCGTCACCGAACACTTTGCATGACTATCTGTCTTGTTCATTGTATGCTAATGTTCCTCCTTCGTATAACCACGAGATCTAGTTCCGGTTAAGCAAAGTTGACTTTTCTTTGTTACACTTACTGAGTCCGTCTGATATTTGGCCTTTCATCTTTGAACTCAAGCAAATATTCAGGTATAGAGCTACCTGTATGCATACAATCACAAGTAACTAAATTCCTGTTTGTTGTTCTTTAGTATATATTAACCATGGATTCTCTCACCTCCAAGTGGAAGACGCCTATTGCTGTCATCCTAGTAGTTCTCAACTAACCTAATTAGCCATCATTTGACGACGAAGTTCCAATTGTCGGGAGAAGATTATTCAGTGATTCCGCGCCGTGAAAGTATGCTTCCATATGTCTCTACTCAATATTACGCACTGGTTCATATTGCTTGCTTTATTTCCGAATTCTTATCGGTTAAATTGCTCATCTGCTGATGAATTTGGGCACCGTTTCTTTCATTGAACATAGTTAGATTCAGCATAACCCGGAGGCAATCAATTACGATTATGTCAATATAAATCACGTAAAATTGGGACTCACAAAAGTCAGATCATACAGTAGCATGTAACCAATTAAAATTTAGGCATTGTATGATAAGGGTTGTGAAGAGTTTTAAATTTTAGTGGGCATACAGGAAGCAATAAGTTGACAGATGTACCTACTGAGGAAGCTTATAATATTTATCCGAATAACGCGTCATCTGATGTTACAAATTATACAACCATTTTGTATTCCACCATCGAGTCATAAAAGGCACTTACATTGTGGTCGGTTGCAGTGTTGTTTTATACCGCAATAGCCCTAGTAAAAATCTGTTGCCACCACCAGTTACGCGTTCTGACCAATGTGAGTGAGTGGATCAGTTCGGTTCCCAAGCTGTATCTTAGCTATTCCCTACCTAACTGGTAGAATTGTGGAAAGAACGAATCGAGATAATATGCTTCGAATAACTTCGGCTCTTTGTGTGTACCTAAACGCGAATAGTAGTATGAACTATTTCAAAGTTGTAATCCATACACGAGCAGGTTACAACTACTTATGCAGAAAGATCTCATGATTTATTTCCAATTTCCCAGTGGATATTTGTTTCGAATTGACATCACTGAGCGAATAGTGACAGCATATTTGGGGAACGCCGCAAGACTAAGGGTGGTGACATTAAACAACTGCAAGCGGCAAACGGCGAGAGTATTTGTGGCACAGCTTTTAAGCTACTGTGGATCAGCCCCTATCCATAATCATTCTTTACATACAATTTGCAAACTTTCACGTCCGCTAACGTTAACACTGCAATCGGATGATGCAATCCAGCAAATGTTCACTAATGACATCGCAGAGCAGATGCGAGTACTTGACATGAATTAATTAATCAAATGGAAGATCGAAATTTCTCTCCATAAAACTTGTATAATCTAATCTGCTAAAAGCTTCACTTATATATCTGAATTACAAAATTGTCACAGTCATGAACAGCGTTCCCTGTGTTGTGGAATGGGAAACGACTGGCATATTTCAGAAAGAGAGTTAACCAACCAAACATTTAACTCGCATTTTGCTACCCATGATGAGTTCTTAGGCATGTTAATATACCATTTTCACATTAAACTGGACACTTTTCAAACCACATTGGACATTCTGCAAACCAAACTGGACATTTTGCAAACCACATTGGACATTTTGCAAACCAAACTGGACATTTTGCAAACCAAACTGGACATTTTGCAAAACAAATTGGACACGTTGCAATCTAAGTAGCAACTCGCCAATTTGTTGTTAAGAAACGAGCAGTAAGACTGCTGAATGATGTTCAGAATATACATTGTGATGACTAGCGTCATCACCGGGATTGTGTAAGCAGCGGGCTACACTGTAAAACATTTCCTTGATCGTGAGCAGCGACCGAAGTTCTGAACTACGCTCCCCTCTCCCCATTGACATTCGCCTAGTTGGTGTGCAGTGCCCATACGCATCAACCTGTGTAGGTGTGTGACAATAGGAAAATCGAACGTCCGAATCGTAATTGTGTATCAATCAGTTTGTGAGTGGATTGCGATGTGCAATCTCAATGTGCAAGGTTATTCTCATTAGAGGGAACCTTGTCCGATTCGGTCAATGGGACCATGTCGGATGAAGCAGGTAGGCGGTGTCCCAGCTTCGCCCGTCTCTCTATTAGCTTTCGCAACTGCCACTTTATTGTATCAGCGTAGGCTGTAATGACCCCCAGCAAAACCAATCTAGATCTATAGCCTATTGTTGCAACATATCAACTACTGAGGTGTGGGCCGATTACACGATGTTCAGGCCACATTGTGGTCACGATAATGTAACCGAACTGCGTACGTAGTGGGTGATTGTGTAAGCCCTTCTCTTGACATGAGTGCCGTTCGCCTCGGTCAAAATCGGTGACCTATTTTCCCCTACACCCCCCCATAGGAATTCGTGTGTTTTGTCTGGGTGTGTGGACCGACCTATGCAGCGGTACCACTATTGGAGCGGAGCATACGATAATGGTTCCACTCAACACAACTTAGATTTTTAGCTCCGTGCCGCAAGAAACGAGCAAAATCAGTGACGAACAACAGGAGAGCTGTTGTCCGACGCGACGGCACTACAGGCGAACATCATTTGCGCAAAGAGAAATTCTCACAAAACTTGTGCTGGTCGACGGCAAAACTACTCGGGAAGCCGTTGAGGTCGCTGGTGTTAACGCGAGTACGGCAAGGAACATCATTAATGCCTACAAGCCAGAAGGCTCAAATACACAGCGCACCTGCGGTGGAAACAATAGGGAGAAGCTGACTCCCAATGTATTGCAGCGCGTCGAAGAAGCGGTTGAACGGCACTCTGAGGACACGTTGGTGCAGCTGCAGATGCGCCTGAGAGAGAATGGGATAAACCTATCAGTATCCTCTGTCTTCAACGCCCTCAGAAGACTAAAGATAACTCTCAAAAAGTGTCATTACGAGCTCGACCGAGTCAACAGTGCCACGACAATCGCTAGCCGACAGGCGTACGCTCTCGAGTTCTCGGCAAATGCACCTTCTAACAAGGAGAAATGCATCTTCATAGATGAGAGTGGTCTCAACCTTCATCTGAGGCGAACTCAGGCTCGCTCAAGAAGCGTGACGCGCGCGAATGTCGTGTTACCCACAGTCAGAGGTCGCACGGTAACCCTGATTGTTGCAATGAATAACCAAGGCGTCATCCATTCAAAGATCATTAACGATGGCACCTGCAATGGTGCGAAGTTCTCAGCGTTCGTCGAGGAACTGGTAGCGCGTATAAGCTGCATAGTGGAGATGAACGGCGCGTGGCTGATCATTGACAATGCCAGGATCCATATGCCTGATGAGCTAAGGAGGATCCTTGGTTCGTCTTATCACCTGCAGTTCTTGCCGCCCTACTCTTATATGCTAAACCCGGTTGAACACGTCTTTTCAAATGATGTTCGCCTGTAGTGCCGTCGCGTCGGACAACAGCTCTCCTGTTGTTCGTCACTCATTTTGCTCGTTTCTTGCGGCACGGAGCTAAAAATCTAAGTTGTGTTGAGTGGAACCATTATCGTATGCTCCGCTCCAATAGTGGTACCGCTGCATAGGTCGGTCCACACACCCAGACAAAACACACGAATTCCTATGGGGGGGGTGTAGGGGAAAATAGGTCACCGATTTTGACCGAGGCGAACGGCACTCATGTCAAGAGAAGGGCTTACACAATCACCCGCTACGTACGCAGTTCGGTTACATTATCGTGACCACAATGTGGCCTGAACATCGTGTAATCGGCCCACTCCTCAGTAGTTGATATGTTGCAACAATAGGCTATAGATCTAGACTGGTTTTGCTGGGGGTCATTACAGCCTACGCTGATACAATAACGTGGCAGTTGCGAAAGCTAATAGAGAGACGGGCGAAGCTGGGACACCGCCTACCTGCTTCATCCGACATGGTCCCATTGACCGAATCGGACAAGGTTCCCTCTAATGAGAATAACGGTGCACATTGAGATTGCGCATCGCAATCCACTCACAAAATGATTGATACACAATTACGATTCGGACGTCCGATTTTCCAATTGTCACACACCTACACAGGTTGATGCGTATGGGCACTGCACACCAACTAGGCGAATGTCAATGGGGAGAGGGGAGCGTAGTTCAGAACTTCGGTCGCTGCTCACGATCAAGCAAATGTTTTACAGTGTAGCCCGCTGCTTACACAATGCCGGTGATGACGCTAGTCATCACAATGTATATTCTGAACATCATTCAGCAGTCTTACTGCTCGTTTCTTACCAACAAATTGGCGAGTTGCTACTTAGATTGCAACGTGTCCAATTTGTTTTGCAAAATGTCCAGTTTGGTTTGCAAAATGTCCAGTTTGGTTTGCAAAATGTCCAATGTGGTTTGCAAAATGTCCAATGTGGTTTGCAAAATGTCCAGTTTGGTTTGCAAAATGTCCAGTTTGGTTTGCAAAATGTCCAATGTGGTTTGCAAAATGTCCAATGTGGTTTGCAAAATGTCCAATGTGGTTTGCAAAATATCCAGTTTAACGTGAAAATGGTATATAAGTGAAATTCTTAACTTATTCCCAAGAGATTGCAGCGGCAGCGGAGAAATGGAGCCGATCTAACTGAGCTCATGTAAACCGGTCATCCGTGGTCGATGGTGCTAACGATCGCACACATACGCAACATCTGCAACACTGGAGAGTTCCAAGTGCTCTCCAAGGAACACATTTGTTTTCATTTAATCCGAGCTCACAGTCCAAATGTTTCATCACTGTTTAATCTGAAATGGTGAACATCATCCTATTCACCCAGGATGGTTGTACATTTCAAGAGGTAAATCTGACATCTACTGACAGGTTGTACTGTTCGATGTTCAATGGGTTATTGAAAAATACCTATTTCCTTGTAGCATAAACGCTTGGAGATAATTTCTTTTGAAAGAGACCGCGAGATTAGCGAGATCAAATATTCTAAGTTTCTGAAGATTAGCCATTATAACTGACATCAACATGCACCTTTTTGCCTCTTCCTTGTTATCGACTTCGAAGCAATGTATATAATGTGACCAGTAGATAATGATTTCTGTGTTTCTATTAAAATATGTTCAGTGTCTTCATGTCGAGGTACACGTTTCAGACAAATAATTGGTCAATATAATTTGTTAGCAGAGGACAAGTTCGTCCACTAAAATATCACGAACAATTTGTGAACAGCTGCAATTCCGCAGCGGAAATCGAATGAATTTATTCTAAACTTATCATTATGCCCAACAGATTAATTCATTTTTTGAGAGGCGTTCGCTAAATGTGTTGCATAATGTAGTGGCTATCGTGATATACACCATTGCCGAATATGCTACCTGCAGTCCTGAAAGTTTTGTCCTCCATATCGTCACCGTCATCCACTGTTTCGACAATATTCTTTGCCAGGTTGACCGAGATACACCCCGCTGTTAGATTGCGCGTATCACTCAGTAACCGTTTAAATTTAAAGCATAATAAACACAGTGTTCAGTGCTACCTATAAGGAAATTAATCCCAATAACGGCGCACTGGCGAAGGCCGCAATTATTCACTTGAACACTAACGTATCATACGACGATAGCAGAGCCGACTCCAGGTAACTCATCAGAATAGGTCCAAATCATGTTGCATGAATTTTCAGCGCATCCACAGTCTTCACTGAAAGAATTTAAGTATAGCAAATTCTGCTTCAAAACGAGAGCTGTTAACCCCACCCCATCTGACACATTAACTTGCTTAGACTCTTTAATGGCCTAAATTACCAAAACGAAAGTAATATCTGTAAATAACTAAGATGTGGCGGTCAGTGTCTCATATCACTCGAACTAATGATGTGAGTAGTAGGATGACGGAACGTGTACATTGACGCTAGCGTAGTAATCCGTAAGCTGCTAAGTTGGAGCACGCTACCTGTAAACACATACGTAGTGTGTGTTCTATGAGGCTGTAGAGCTTAATGGGCTTCTCGTAATTCTATGCTCGATATCCAAGCTACTGCAGACTGCTGCTTCGTTCTGACTAGGAGTGCTTCGTCGAGGTACTACGGGATACGCTATGTGAGCCGTGGTATCTCTTAGATCACTCGCTCTGGCTAGCTTCTCATCGAAATCAGACTTGATTTAGCGCCTGTGATAGTCCTACGCAGCTTTGAAGTATCGTTCTAGAAGAGCACCGTAACGCAGACTCAAGGTAACGGAACTGAGCAAATAGCAATACGCGTATTGCTGATAGTGCCACTATTGCTCTAGCGTCTTTTGTGCGGACATGTGGTCCGCCTGTCGATTACATGCGCCTATTTGTTCTCGACAGTAGTCACGCTGCAGCGAGATACGGCCCCGCTCATAAGTCGATGTCGCTTAAAAAAGTAAGTTTTAGTAGTGGTTCGTTTTGTTAAGCAGATTGTCAATTGATGGTGATGAGAGTGCGTACGACGAAGTGTCTCCAGTATGTATGTTCCCAGTGTCATTAGCTATCTGCCAAATTTGGAATGATGATTTTGGTTAGTTTTCTTCGAGTTAAGTGTGATTCTGATCGTACGACGTAGAGAGTAGAAAAAAGGTATCAATTGCGTGTGGTAGTAGCTAGTCGGAGAGAGCTAGGAGCAGATATGAGATGGCTCAGATGAAGCATCTCTATCGGACCTGCCTGCCCATTCGATATGACCTTTTCGAAAGAGACGAGATATTGGTCTCGATGATGATTGCCAGTGTGCAGTCTTGACGAGGTACTAGAGTAGCGAGCGGTACTCTGCTATCTCGGCATATTATAAGGGTCTCGATTATGTAAGCAATACATCGTCCTTGTCATCGTGTGGCGTGAATATGAGTCGATGTCAACATTCGCGCATATGATAGAGCGATCCCCATAGTAACCTTCCAACGCCATGTGTTCCTCGCTAGGCTCAAATTGATTTTACGTCAGTTCAGTGATCCAGTGTTTAAATAAGTGTTGGACGTCACACTGCTCGGCCCCCCATCGCCCACCACACACGTCACAGGATAACTCGCTTGTGAACCTTTAGTTGTCAATTCATCGCGGTCTTTTACGATGTACTTACTCATGTCTGTTATAAATATTGAATGAACAATACTACCTTGACTTGCCTGATGATTTGAATAATATTGACTCTCTCACTAAACGTGCCCCCGATAGTTTATTGCATATAGAAAAGTATATGATGCGCCTATAGGATGTTTTATATAAGGGCTCACATTCCAAGTGGGGTCATGAGGCTCCCCCCCCCCCCCCCCCCCCGCCCCCCCCCCCCCTCGCCCCCCTCCAGCATGACTTGAGATAAAACCTGTGAGAACGTCGGCCCGTTCTTGCAAGTTATTCCTGCGTTGCTTGCAGTGTCAATAGACTCATCAAGCATAGTTTTGTTTGTCTGTAAGTCGTCACTCTTCGTAGAGGCGTCTGCGAGAAGGGAAGCGTTTGCAGCCATATGACAGTCAGCCTGCAAGGCAATGAATCACGTGGACATCTTGCTATTACGGTCATGGTACCTAGCAGTAATCCTTAGCTGCAACGAATATGCGAGCTCACGTCTAGTTATCGCGTTTGATGTTACAAGACTGTTACTCAGCTCGCGGGGTCTCCCACAGCACATCTAGTCGTGTCGAGCTACATGACTGCAATCGCGCCGTTTTACTTACAACATCGTATCGACAGGCTGATGCTTACATGAGTTACGGTGTTGTATTCATCGCGCATCCGTCTTCTAGTAGTCATCATCATATAGAAAACGCGCTCTACTCGCAGCTGACACCACCCCCCCTCACCCCACCCACCTCCCCCCCCCATCCCCCCCACCTTTGAGTGTCTAAAGCTAATTGTTTATAACAGTTGTTTGCCAGATAACAACTGAGATCGGACCGTCGACTACTATAGTGATAGGTCATGGATCAATTGTACGCCAGCAAATAGTTCTTGAGGTTCTTGCATGACAGAGAACATATGGTGAAATTAGCGTAATAGCTGACAATGGTTCAGTAATCCTAATGTTGGTCCTCGTGATATTGTTAGTATGCTAGAAGTGCGTTACCAATAACGCGGCCTTTATAGCACTGAGATGTTTAGCCTGAGTGAACCACTCATGAATACAGTGTGATGTTGTCATTCAACGGCATTGTGCAAATGCAAGTAGTTTGGTCTTGATCACGTACCGCTAGGCTGTGAGTGTTCGTTAGATATTCAATCATACGATGTGAGAATAATGGATCCGCAGAATTAAGAGCATGCAATGTCTGATCATGCTAATGAAAGGCGACATCTACTCAGCAGTTACCATTGTCAACAATGATTGCGGGAAGAGCACAATGAGATATAGTGTTCTATGTAGTATCATTATTGTATTGGTATTATTTGTATTGTATTGTATATCTCTGTGCGGCGGTTTACTCAGATGATAGTTTAACCGGAGTAGAAGACTATTTCTGAAATTAAATAGCACCCCGCACTCACGCACTATCATCGTAGGTCCGTCATGGTGATGATACATAGTCCTTGTGAAGAATGCTTGGCAGTGAAGTCCTAAAGTTAGCAGGAAGAGAAAATATAATAGCTATAAAGCTTAGAAGTATCTAGCAATAAGTGTTCGAAGAGTCTAAGCAGAAAACTAGTACTAATCACGCTATTTGTCTTGTGATAACCACTCTCGAGTCACGTGGTTAGAGGTAGTTGTATAAATCAAGCGTCTGCTTGGAGAGGCTGGCGTAGTGTTCCCTGGTGTGTTGCGAATCCGCAGAGGATAGATGAATAGCGTTAGAATTTAAAGTTCGTACGAACATCTCGAAGCTGATCGTATAACGATCTCACTGAATACATACCCCCCCCCTTAACACCTCATTAGCCCTGCAGATTAGAGTGACCGCCTAGAAATCTCGCGCTCAGCATGTATGTAGGAGCATATATATCAGCATGAATTGGCGCGTTGTCCGTCTGTCTACTGTGTAGTCGCCGCAGTCACTCTAAGATAGTCATGATGCCTTGTCTATAATAATGGTGGCAGATTAGTATAAAGAGGCTGGCAGCCGCACGTCGTAGAAGCCTTGCGATAGACTGTCATATTAACCCCCCCCCCCCCCCCTCCTCCCCCCCCCCCCCCCCCTACCCCCCACTGTCAAACTCATTCCACTTGATCGTGGCCAGTGCAGTTCAGTGCATGTAACGGTTGCATATAAGATGTCGATAGAACGTTTTTCTGTGGCAGTATGAGGTAGTCCCCCTATTACTAAGATATCGCGGTTGATTGCCTCTCGTCTGTATCTAGCAGCGCTCATGCTATACGCCTTACTAGTGTCGAGCGCTGTTGCGACACAAAGGGTGCCTCAGTTAACTCGACTGGGCGCTGTGCATGTAATATATGTCTCTCTTTGTCAGCCATCTCCTAACCTCTCGATGAGCACGAGTAGTGTTGCTTGAGGCACCGCAGGCTACTACCATCAGTGTCACCTGTGATGTGGTTCCTCGTCGCGCCCAAGCCGCATCTGTTGAGAAGCAGCGCGTAGATCACGATGACACCGATAGGAGCACAGTAGTGAGGGGCGAGAACGCAAGGGCACAAAGAATGTAAAGGATCCAACTGCTCTAGCAGCTCATTAAATGTCAGCCTGATAGAAAAGACTGTAAGCATTAAGCTGTGGAGCTAAGCAGGCATATGAATCCACCTTCTCGATGACGGTAGCACGTTGCTCTGATCAGCTCAGTACGAGACCCATCACACCGCTGGCATATTAGCGTCATCAGATCTGTGCAGAGTAGCACTTGCCCTTATCCGCGTCCTAGTCACTCGCAATTCTCGCTCTGACATCAATCGCCTAGCTCCCACATTCGCCAGGGTATCAGTGCATGATAAGATATATAGCTGATATTAGTCTACTAAAGATGCTGAGTGAATATCGGAAGACTAATTCAGATACGCCCCGTACCTAGCAGCTAGTACTTTGTGATTTTCTCCCGGACCATCCACTAATTCTGTCTTTGTTAATTAGCACCTCGCCCTGAACGCATGTCACCCAACTCAGTTCGCCGATGTTCACTCAGACAATACTCGCACAATGTGGATGATTATCTCTCGTAAGACACATAATCTGTCCCTCGTACTTCTGTATCGTTTGCTACTTCGCTGTCTATCTGTTGTGTCTGTGTTCATGCTTCAAACTCCGCGTGAACGCCACGTGCGGTCTCTATCTTGGAAGCGCCCTCGCGATATTCCCTATCATATCTCCAAATCTTAAAAAAAAGAATCGACTCAGTCATGTGTTTTCTCCAGCTAATGGGCGCATATAGCACTATCGCTCCGCAGAACGTCTGTCGCTCTTACGACATTGAGCGGACCGTTATTTTATTTGTCTCAGCTACTTACAATCATACCTCAACTATCACTCCTCTGCACATAACCTTTCGTTATCTATAGTCAAGCCAGTGTTAAAGTAATCTTCACACAGTCGAACTAACTAATCCTCAATATACGTGCATGACCCTCCACACTCACCCCCCACCCCCCCCCCCCCCCTTAGTTGTGTGTGTTCCCCCCCCCCGCCCCCCCACCCCCCCCCATCTACCCCCCCCCCCCCCCCCCCCCCCCCCCCCCCCCCCCCCCCCCGCTCGCAGAAGTCGTAGTCTGTATACCATGTGCTCGAGATAGGAGGGACTGGCTTTACTGCTGAGCGATCATGTTTGACCTTCGTATGACACCTGTCTGATAGGAATCGTCTTAAGACTAAAGCTAGTCTCCACTGGATCCACGATATGTGTCACGTGCATATATATTGTCATATATGTGTGTCACCACAATGGTCCCCCAAGTGATGAAGCACGTATGCTTGATATCTCCGTAATGAACTAACCATCATATGCTATCGATTAGTTCATCTAGACTTCTCATGTGTAGGAAGCCGCCCATACTAAGCCAAGATAGTGCGTGCTCACGCTAGAGTAAAGCGTGAAATTAAGCGAGCACTTCAGGCTCTTATCTGGTCTTCAACCTACTTAAGTGTATCGACGTTCAGATATAGAAGCACCGCAAATTATAGATTCTTTGGCGTCAGCACTCAGTGCTGTACTATTTCCATGCGAGTGACGAAACTATCTATAAGTGGGATGCCAGGTCTACAATGTCGGGGTTGTTTGCGTACAAACGACACCTGTATTGTTAACAATTATAGTCTAGAACAGTACTACTATAGTCGTAGATCTTTTGTTGTTGTCTCAGTAGTTAAATAGGTTTACGCTGTAGTTTCTACGTCGTGACGTCCTGCTGCTCGATCAATATGCATATCTACGAACCTATGAAGCTGATAGTCAGTTGGCTGTGATACGCAATGAAAATTGGTTTTCAGGTAGAGATCAAGATTTCATTTGTGCACTCATCACGTCTGTCCACAGTATTGGTCATGATCCGTGAGCATTGAAGGAACGTTCAAGAAACCGAGCACTTACAGGACTATCCTACAATTCAGTAGGTGGCGATACCTGGGACTTGATGAGCTATGATCATTTGTTAATCATGTTAAGGCGTAACGTAGAGCACGTAGTGATTGCCATTTGGATTACGCTTATTAGCTCCCCGAATTAATCAGTATAGTTTGGCCTTGAGGTGTCAGCTCGCCTTACCGCATCTATCGGTGCATAACTATAGTTCACTGCTAAGAGCTTCCTTTGTCTAGTGCGCTGACGCCGCTCGGTAGGCTCGCTCAATATCAAGATAGCTATTCTTCGTATTTGCTAAACACGAGCACCAGTTCAACTAGCGCAGCCGCTGTTGCATGATTAGGTTAACACACTGTCTTTTCCATTATTACCAGCGGTTGAGACGTCATCTCAGTACGCAGCATGGATCCTAGCATCTTGTCACCGTTACTGTGAATCAGAAGACACTGCGATGTATTTGCAATCTAAAGTTTTGCTTCCTCTCCCGTGACATGGATCGCTAAGCACGAGTATTACTGTGTAAGCGAGGCATTGATCAGGTGATTAATCTGATCTTACCTCAACCTCAGGCGGACGGCATAACTGATACGTAACCGTATGGAGAAATTTAGTTCGCTCGCATTGTGGCACAGAGGCAGTTTGAAGTGTCTGAGGTACTGTGCTACAGTACGACCAGGTAGTGGTATACGTCTAAGTAAGTACGCTTGTGTGTTTACCAGACGAAGGACGCAGTTGTGTATCGTCCAAAGTGGCTGTAACATCTTGATTTTGGCATTCACCCTACGCAGTTCCACTGCGCCGCGTTGACGGTCGCTTAATCTGCTTAGTCTGTGATAGTCCTACCTATGCTGCTAGAGTATATTCAGAATCTCCTTGACCCTTCGCTCAAACTTTTGTCTGGCATGCACCGAGCTGATTCGTGCTTCTAGAAATCACGCTGTGCCTTCGCTGCCTCGTCTCCCCGACCTCTTCGCACAGTTTTCGACTTCAATGTTCGCGCTGGCATGAACCCTACGCGTAGATTCATTCTATGCTTGAGCTATACTATCTCATAGTCCAGCTCCCACACCTACACCTCACCGTCACAGTGGTGTCTGCCACTTACTCTAAGCGCTGTATGCTTATCTCATTTGTTTTACATCGTGTACTCGCTTATGATCAGGTGTCTTTCAGGTAAGATCATGCATTGTCCAACTCACTCCCCGCTACGTACATGTAGATAAGTCACGGCAGCACGAAAGTAGTTTCTGGAAGAATCGCGCTGAGCCTTCAAGCGCCCGCATAGGCAGGAAAGCCGTTATAATCACGTAATACTTCTGGTCAAGCGCACGCAGCGCCACATGACACGGACGTAGATGTAGCATTGTCGCGCTCGCACTGTTGGAATAGTTAGCAGGTTCATCATACCGCGATATCTGATACACGTCACAGTCTTTCGATACATCATGTTATGAGCACCGCACTTATGGTTCATCAATGATCAGTATCATATCGCAGGGTTCAGGAAATATATCATGAGAGACCAACTTGCTAAATGCACTGAATGTGCTCGCATCACGTCAGCATCTATTACTATTGAGTCGTTGAACTAGATCGTCGCCATGATGCATACAATACTCATCGTATATTTTTTTGTGTGTCTTAGGTCAGTGACGTCATTAAGAAGACTCTAACTGTCTATAAAGTGTTAACTGTGCTTGGCACGATAGGCTAAGCTGCAGGCTGGTGTTAACAGTCTGCGTCTCTAATGTTTTGAGTATCGCAGATCATATGTGCTTAAATATATGCGTACTAACACTTCTTCTGAGGTGGATCCGTACTGGTGGATGTCGACAGTGACATAGACTATCATAAACGCAGAGATACTGTGTCAGGATGCACACTTTTGCACGCTAGTCTTAACGATTATGTACACGTGAGTTACTGGATCAGAAGCTAGCAAGCGCGCATTACTCAAGTGCTATTTCTCGCCGCAACATCAGTCCTGAGTACGTTATCGTGGATTCTAACAGGAGACGACGAACTAGAGTATGCTGCTCTGTTCTGTCCGAGTAGATGCTGCGCGCTAGTCATCTGGGATCATAATGTCGTACAATCTATCTTAGGTGCTAGTTCATCTGCAACACTGCAGTCTAGTATTAATCGCTTTGTACAGTCTTCAAACGGTTACATGAGTCGAGTACGCGACATCTAAGCTAGACTGCCACCAAAGAAGTTACACACTCGCGTTATCACTAAGGATAGCGGTCCATTCTAAAGGGTAACTTATTGACTGTTGTACATGGATATCGAGCACGTTCTGCAGGGGTGACTCATCGTGAGGGCGCTGACGGTTTCGAATTGTGAAATGAGTACGATTGCATACACCGGTCACCTTGGTGAATTGACTTTGTGCTGCTGTGAGACGCGTGTTTCCAAATAAAACCTACGGTGTCGCCCAACCTCACAGTTGCTCTGTGTG